TTGCACGGAATTTACTTCCTGGAAATTAGATTCCGCAAAGTTCTACTTTGAAAAATTGGTTAAATAGACCCATAAAAAAAAAAAAACATTTATAGAAAACACTTCAAGTCCAGCTTATTTTCATACATCTTTGTTTTCCAATTAAAATGTTGATTTAATGTGAAAACAACTAAAAAGGAGCAAACTTATCGCCAATAGTCGGATTATTACATTCCAATATCATCTTTATTTCTTTCCTATTATTGAAAAAGAAGCAATTAGGAGCAACGGTTAATCCTTTTGGGTAAAAGTTAAGTTTCTAATTTAGTAATTTTCACCCATAAAAACTCTCCCTGAAGCAGGAACACGTCATTCCAGAGCCTGGCTTTCATCTCTAAAATAAGGTTAACAGTCGATGGAAATGTCAATTTGAATTAACTCACCGTCTCATCTAATGTCTAAGAGCTCATCTATGTCACATGTGAGAAATTAAGCTTGTTAAGAATAAGAATGTATAAACCGAACAGAAAAAAAATATATGCAGAGATATTCAGAGCAGGGCTCACCAACATGGGCTGGACGGGGGTCATGAGCGACGCCTCCACGGTCAGCAGCTTCCTGGGCCCAGAACCATTGGAGGCCTCCTGCTGGTTCCTCAGAACCCTCTCGATCACATCACCCAGGTTGCGGGAGGCCTTGAAAGCGTCGTAAGCGTTCGGGTCGACGGCATCCAAGCTAAACGAAGAAGCGAGAACAAGAGTGAGTAATTTTCCAAACAGAATCCGCATGTGTTGACAGAAAACAAGGCAAACACTCACACATGTTTGGCGCCCGCGTTCATCTTCAAGTCGTGCTTAATTAGCCTGATGATGCATTTCAGGTCGTTGCTGGTGCATCTGAGAATAACAAACAGCAGATTGTAACAAGGTAGCTGTTGAGGAAGAAATAAGCCGTGCCTTTCAGGAAGCAGATGGAAGTTTATGTGTTAAAAGGAAAACAAATACAGCACTCATTTGCTACCTTATTAAAGACACTTAAAAATATTAAGAATAATCTCTAAATAGATGATTCCTAGCAGAAAATTCAGAGATTATAACCATTAAATATAAGAATTTTTTTTTTACAAAATCAGAGATGAAATGATTTTTATCATCACTAACATTTCACTAAAATCTATAGCCTATTTTTTTTTTTACACGTGAAAAGTATGGAAGAGGATAAGGGCCACTGGAAAAAAAAAGTTTTTTTTTATTGTCAGAATTCTGAGAAAAAAGTCAGAATTCAGACTTTTTCTCGGAATTCTGACTGAATTCTGACAATAAAAAAAAGTCAGAATTCTGACTTTTTTCTCATACTAAACTGAAATAAAATGTAAAAATCAGTTAACTTTGTTTTGTTTTTCAGTGGCCCTAATCCTCTTCCGTAGAAATGCAATTAATAAAGGTAATAAAAAAAAAAAGTATAAAGGAATTTAATTAGTAATCTAAGACGTCATTGATCCAATCAATCCAACCAATGCTAGATATCCTGAAGGATGAGCTGAAGAGAAGACAGCATCATAGATCTTCTGATCCAGAACGTCATTTAGACGAAGCAAAGAGGAACAGTGTTCTGTCAGACCAGCATACCCAGAGTCAATATCCGTTTATCCCTTTAGTTTTGTACGTAAAATAAACTTTAAACTACCTCAATGGGCATGTATCCCTTTAGTAATGTACAAAAAAAACAATGTAATTACTTAATTTTTGGTGTTTTTGAAGCATATGGTGATCTGACCTTAAATTGTTTGTTTTTGTACATGACTAAAGGGATACACGCCTGTCCAGGTAGTTTAAAGTCTATTTTCATACAAAACTAAAGGGATAAACGCAAATCTGACCACTTGTGCATGTGTACTGACTATAGGTATGCTGGTCTGACGGGGTATGCTCATCTGACAGAAATCCCTCTGTTTGCTTCAATCCAAAAAAATCTTGCAGGGAAAGATAAATGCTGTCCTACTGGTACAAACCTGCTAACATCTTTAAATTTAATGTAATTACTTTGAGGGGATTTTTTTAAACAGCCCGATTTTGTTGCAGGTACTTAAGTAAAGCCATGATAAATACTGCAACCCAGATTTTCTTCATACTGACACAAAGCTCTGCTTAGTAAACTACATTTATGACGAATGAACTTAGTCTGCCATGTTTTCTGCCGGAAGAGTCCAATATCCATGTCTTCATAATAAATGCATGAGTGAGTGTAAGACAGGCCAGAGGAAGACACTGAAAGCAGGAAAAGGCTGCATGAACGCCAACAAGAACAACGAGCAGAGAGAAAGCTTTGTTTCCCATCACACAGCAACAACACAACGCTCCCTCTACAGGCTGATCTGGTCTCATCTACAATAGGCTGACAGCTGGAAAAGAGGGCGTTACTTTTTGGCGATGCTCTCCAGCTCGCTCTGCTGATCATCCTCTTTGGTGAGCTGAGCGAGGCGGGTCAAGGATGCGTCTACCTCTTGGATCGTCAGGAGGCTCTTGGCAGCGGGAGGAAAGGATTTACTTTCTTCGAAAAACATCCGTACGGTCTCAGACACGTCGCCCTTCGAGGAAAACCAACAAAAATAAAGAAAATAAAGAAAAACAAAATACAGGGAAGAGCAGACAGAAATGCACCGATAAGAAAAAACTGGATAACACCGTTATGAGCGTTGAGTCAATATTCTCCCACACCACTAATAGGAAGAGCCAACTC